TTTTTTTTGGCTCGAAACAACCTAAAATGCCTTAAGATACGATCCCAAGACCGTTTGTGGAGTCTCTGATCAGTTTCAGGCCGGTATCTCTCAAAAAAGAAGTTAGCGATTTTTTCAAAAAAGCTATGATCCCGGATATGCAAAAAAATCCAAAAAGGTGTAAAATTTGAGAAAAATTTTTTTTGGCTCGAAACAACCTAAAATGCCTTAAGATACGATCCCAAGACCGTTTGTGGAGTCTCCGATAAGTTTCAGGCCCGGATCTCTCAAAAAAGAAGTTAGTCATTTTTTTCAAAAAATCTGTGACCCCGGATATGCAAAAAAATCAAAAAAATTGTCAAATTTGAGAAAAATTTTTTTTGGCTCGAAACAACCTAAAATGCCTCATGATACGATCCCAAGACCGTTTGTGGAGTCTCCGATAAGTTTCAGGCCCGGATCTCTCAAAAAAGAAGTTAGTCATTTTTTTCAAAAAATCTGTGACCCCGGATATGCAAAAAAATCAAAAAAATTGTCAAATTTGAGAAAAAATTTTTTTGGCTCGAAACAACCTAAAATGCCTCATGATACGTTCCCAAGACCGTTTGTGGAGTCTCCGATAAATTTCAGGCCGGTATCTCTCAAAAAAGAAGTTAGTCATTTTTTAAAAAAATCTGTGACCCCGGATATGCAAAAAAATCAAAAAAAGTGTCAAATTTGAGAAAAATATTTTTTGGCTCGAAACAATCTAAAATGACTCAAGATACGTTCCCAAGACCGTTTATGGAGTCTCCGATAAATTTCAGGCTGGTATCTGCGAAAAAAGAAGTTAGTCATTTTTCAAATAATCTCTGACCCCGGATATGCAAAAAAATCCAAAAAAGTGTCAAATTTGAGAAAAAATTTTTTGGCTCGAAACAACCTAAAATGCCTCAAGATACGTTCCCAAGACCGTTCATGGAGTCTCCGATAAATTTCAGGCCCGTATCTCTCAAAAAAGAAGTTAGTCATTTTCTCAAAAAATCTGTGACCCCGGATATGCAAAAAAATCCAAAAAGGTGTAAAATTTGAGAAAAATTTTTTTTGGCTCGAAACATCCTAAAATGCCTTAAGATACGATCCCAAGACCGTTTGTGGAGTCTCTGATAAGTTTCAGGCCGGTATCTCTCAAAAAAGAAGTTAGCGATTTTTTCAAAAAAGCTATGATCCCGGATATGCAAAAAAATCCAAAAAAGTGTTAAATTTGAGAAAAATTTTTTTTAGCTCGAAACAACCTAAAATGCCTTAAGATACGATCCCAAGACCGTTTATGGTGTCTCCGATAAATTTCAGGCCGGTATCTCTCTAAAAAGAAGTTAGTCATTTTTCAAAAATTCTATGATCCCGGATATGCAAAAAAATCCAAAAAAGTGTCAAATTTGAAAAAAATTTTTTTTGGCTCAAAACAACCTAAAATGCCTTAAGATACGATCCCAAGACCGTTCATGGAGTCTCCGATAAATTTCAGGCCGGTATCTGTCAAAAAAGAAGTTAGTCTTTTTTCAAAAAATCTATGATCCCGGATATGCAAAAAAATCCAAAAAAGTGTCAAATTTGAGAAAATTTTTTTTTGGCTCGAATTAACCTAAAATGCCTCAAGATACGATCCCAAGACCGTTTGTGAAGTCTCCGATAAATTTCAGGCCCGGATCTCTCAAAAAAGAAGTTAGTCATTTTTCAAAAAAACTATGATCCCGGATATGCAAAAAAATCCAAAAAAGTGTCAAATTTAAGAAAAATTTTTTTGGCTCGAAACAATCTAAAATGCCTCAAGATACGTTCCCAAGACCGTTTGTGGAGTCTCCGATAAATTTCAGGCCGGTATCTGTCAAAAAAAATTAGTCATTTTTCAAAAAATATGTGACCCCGGATATGCAAAAAAATCCAAAAAAGTGTCAAATTTGAGTAAAACCTTTTTTGCTTGAAACAGCTAAAATTGCAATAAAATACCTTTCTTTGATCATTTGAAGACGTTTCATTGACCTTCCAAGTGATATCTGAAAGGAGAGAGTCATGTCAAGAATTAAATTTTATCACTCTAAACCTAGAACAAATTGAAAAAATTCTCAAGTTTCAGAAAACACTTTTTTTTCCTGGAAACCATCTAAAATGCCTTAAGATACGTTCCCAAGACCGTTTGTGGAGTCTCCGATAAATTTCAGGCCGGTATCTTTCAAAAAAGAAGTTAGTCATTTTACAAAAAATCTATGATCCCGGATATGCAAAAAAATCCAAAAAAGTGTCAAATTTGAGAAAAAAGTTTTTTGGCTCGAAACAACCTAAAATGCCTCAAGATACGTTCCTAAGACCGTTTATGGCGTCTCCGATAAATTTCAGGCCGGTATCTCGCAAAAAAGAAGTTAGTCATTTTTTAAAAAAATCTGTGACCCCGGATATGCAAAAAAATCAAAAAAAGGGTTAAATTTGAGAAAAAATTTTTTCGCTCGAAACAATCTAAAATGCCTCAAGATACGTTCCCAAGACCGTTTATGGAGTCTCCGATAAATTTCAGGCTGGTATCTGTCAAAAAAGAAGTTTATTCATTTTTCAAAAAATCTATGATCCGGGATATGCAAAAAAATCCAAAAAAGTGCCAAATTTGAGAAAAAATTTTTTGGCTCGAAACAACCTAAAATGCCTCAAGATACGTTCCCAAGACCGTTCATGGAGTCTCCGATAAATTTCAGGCCCGTATCTCTCAAAAAAGAAGTTAGTCATTTTCTCAAAAAATCTGTGACCCCGGATATGCAAAAAAATCCAAAAAGGTGTAAAATTTGAGAAAAATTTTTTTTGGCTCGAAACAACCTAAAATGTCTTAAGATACGATCCCAAGACCGTTTGTGGAGTCTCCGATAAGTTTCAGGCCCGGATCTCCCAAAAAAGAAGTTAGTGATTTTTTCAAAAAAGCTATGTTCCCGGATATGCAAAAAAATCCAAAAAAGTGTCAAATTTGAGAAAAAAATTTTTTGGCTCGAAACAACCTAAAATACCTTAAGATACGATCCCAAGACCGTTTGTGGAGTCTCCGATGAATTTCAGGCCCGGATCTCTCAAAAAAGAAGTTAGTCATTTTTTCAAAAAATCTGTGATTCCAGATATGCAAAAAAATCCAAAAAAGTGTCAAATTTGAGAAAATTCTTTTTTGGCTCGAAACAACCTAAAATGCCTTAAGATACGATCCCAAGACCGTTTGTGGAGTCTCCGATAAATTTCAGGCCGGTATCGGTCAAAAAAGAAGTTAGTCTTTTTTCAAAAAAATCTGTGACCCCGGATATGCAAAAAAATCCAAAAAAGTGTCAAATTTGAGAAAAAATTTTTTTGGCTCGAAACAACGTTAAATGCCTTAAGGTTACGGTAAACGTTTTGAACACGAAAATTGGTTTTTTCTTCCTAAAGGCCAAACGGCTCAAGGAATCTTGATAAACTATATATCATTCAATGTACAAGATTATGTCGTATCTAGCCAGATAAAAAGTATTGGCAAATAATGTTAAATGTTATTTTCCACGCGAATTTACTGGTCAAAAAGTGTACCACCTTCAAAAGCTATTATGTACCCTTGCGTTTGAGGTAACAAAATCTGACTTAGACCAGCAGGAAGTGCAGGTCCTAAGCTACCAAAGTGTGTCTCAGATTTTTTAAATTCCTCCTCTTCTTGAAACTATACCCTGTCAAAAATTGACAAATAATTGTTCCACCCTCCCGCAGCTGTATTTGGGTATAAAAGACGGACCAGAGAAAATAAAAAAATTTTGAGACACACTTTGTTTGCCCAACGTCTGCCCTGGCCGTGTGCAAATTTTCGAGCCATTCGATTGGTTCCTTGGGTACATAATAGCTTTTTCGTACCTGCATGTAGAGGAATTTCGAGTCCGGAGAAAACGGGATTTTACTGATCGCACTTGCAAGATACACTCGTAAACCACAGTGTAATCCGGGTCAAGTCACTTGAAGATTTAAGATCAATAAGCCTGTTTAAATAAACACGGCCGTACATTGGGTATATGGATGTGCCATGCGATATTGTAAATGAGACATGCGACTACAACCGCAAAGCAACGATAATCGGCTAAAAAGGTCAAGAGATTTTCAGGCCTCAACTAAAAGTTTTGATAAAGAAATTATGGAAACCTTCGTTTACATGGGATTTTTTCCACTTTCAAAATTTCTGTTTGTTTCAAATTTGGTGTCATTGTGTGCCTTGAAAGTTCGGCTACTTGAATGTGAAAAAATCGAAAAAATGATGTTTTCATCCAGCAAACGTTTACCGTAACCTTAACATACGATCCCAAGACCGTTTGTGGAGTCTCCGATAAATTTCAGGCCCGGATCTCTCAAAAAAGAAGTTAGTCATTTTTTCAAAAAACTGTGACCCCGGATATGCAAAAAAATCCAAAAAAGTGTCAAACTTGAGAAAAAAATTTCTTGGCTCGAAACAACCTAAAATGCCTTAAGATACGTTCCCAAGACCGTTTGTGGAGTCTTCGATAAATTTCAGGCCCGGATCTCTCAAAAAAAAGTTAGTCATTTTTTCCAAAAATCTCTGACCCCGGATATGCAAAAAAATCCAAAAAAGCGTCAAATTTGAAAAAAAAATTTTTTGGCTCAAAACAATCTAAAATGCCTTAAGATACGTTTCCAAAACCGTTTGTGGAGTCTCCGATAAATTTCAGGCCCGGATCTCTCAAAAAAAAAGTTAGTCATTTTTTCAAAAAATCTCTGACCCCGGATATGCAAAAAAATCCAAGTGTCAAATTTGAGAAAAAAAATTTTTGGCTCGAAACAACCTAAAATGCCTTAAGATACGATCCCAAGACCGTTTGTGGAGTCTCCAATAAATTTCAGGCCCGGATCTCTCAAAAAAGAAGTTAGTCATTTTTTCAAAAAATCTGTGACCCCGGATATGCAAAAAAATTCAAAAGAGTGTCAAATTTGGGAACAAAAATTTTTTGATTGAAACAGCTTAAATTGCAATAAAATACCTTTCTTTGATCATTTGAAGACGTTTCATTGACCTTCCAAGTGATATCTGAAAGGAGAGAGTCATGTCAAGAATTAAAATTTTATCACTCTAAACCTAGAAAAAATTGAAAAAATGATCAAGTTTCAGATCAAAAAAGGGTAAAATTTGAGAAAATTTTTGTTTGCTCGAAACAACCTAAAATGCCTTAAGATACGTTCCCAAGACAGTTTGTGGAGTCTCCAATAAATTTCAGGCCCGTATCTCTCAAAAAAGAAGTTAGTCATTTTTCAAAAAATCTATGACCCCGGATATGCAAAAAAATTCAAAAAAGTGTCAAATTTGGGAACAAAGTTTTTTTGATTGAAACAGCTTAAATTGCAATAAAATACCTTTCTTTGATCATTTGAAGACGTTTCATTGACCTTCCAAGTGATATCTGAAAGGAGAGAGTCATGTCAAGAATTAAAATTTTATCACTCTAAACGTAGAAAAAATTGAAAAAATTCTCAAGTTTCAGAAAACATTATTTTTTGCTGGAAACAACCTAAAATGCCTTAAGATACGTTCCCAAGACCGTTTGTGGAATGTCCGATAAATTTCAGGCCTGTATCTCTCAAAAAAGATGTTCGAAAAGAAGAAGAAAAAAGCTTAAAAAATTATGAATTTGTTGAAAAAAAAATTTATTTGAAACAACCTAAAAAGACTTCATATACATTCCCAACACAACTTCAGGTAGTTTCAGAGAATTTCAGGCTCATATTTTGAAAATAAGAGACTTTGTCATTTTTGAAAAAAATTTGACCCCAGACCTGCATAAAACTTGAAAAAATTTAAGTTTTTCATATTTAATGGAAAAATGTGCGCCTCGTCCATGTGTGCCTTGGCACCACAATAGATACCTGTCAAGTGCCTGCATGCAATCATGCGCCGGAAACTGAGGGGCCTGAGAGGCTTTGAGAAGATTTGAGATATTTAAAACCTGGCGTAATTGGTAATGCATGTATAAGATACAATAAAGAACTATTAGATCAATTGGACATAAAGACCATGCTTAAGATTGAACAGCAATGGAATATTCTAATATGCTGACAATTTTACATCGATATGAGAGTTTTTATCATTTTTTTAGAATATAAAGTTATCTGAAAAAAACCCAAGAATCCACCTTTATAACCCTGGTACCTTGTCAGTTTCTTTCATCAGATATTTGATATTTTTGGAAATCTGATAAAAATCTCAAGTCTATAATTTGGATTATGTTTATTTCCTGTGAAAAGATATTCTTGATACATATCTAGCAACATTTTGAAAAATTCAACGATATTCAAAGGCGGCCAGCATTTTTGGTGAAAGCAGGATGAGGAACCTAAGGATGAAAACTTTATTCTAGCCAGTTAATTCAGAGGGTAAATGATTTGGCTACAAATATTTAGATTGGTCTCCTTCTATACATTGGCCTAGGTAGCAGTATATAAAATGTTTTCTTCAGTGTGAATGGGAATTTTACTTAGGCACATGTCTCTCTGACAAATTCTGTGTTATTCTCTTTGGATTTTGTAAGAATTCAATAGAATAGACGATAAAGAAGTCAATAAATTATCAACAAACTACCAAAAGGAAAGGCGGCAGGACAGGATGGACTAATTGGTATTGGAAACAGAAAGCAAGTGTAAATAAATAATGATACTGTACTAATTGCAGAAAGTAGAGAAGATCTTCAAGAAATGATTAATGAACTCCATCAAAAATGTGTAGAATACAGCATGAGTCTAAATGCAAAGAAAACAAAATTAATGTTAATAGACAAGAAGGAACAAATTAAATGTGAAATCAAAGTAGAAAACAGAGGATTAGAACAATTAAAAGAATACAAATATCTAGGAAGTTGGATGGTTAATAATGGAAAAAATGAGCAAGAAGTCAGAAGAAGAAAAGGAAAAGCAAAACATAATTTTTGGAAATTTAAGGAATTTTTGAGAAGCAACCTCAACCCCAATTTGAAATTAAGGCTACTTAAAACCTACATCTTCTCAGTAGTAGGATATTGAAGCAAAACATGGACATACAGCAAAGTAATAAAAGAAAAACTTTGTGCCTTTGAAATGTGATGCTACAGGAGAATTCTGAAAATAACATGGGCTGAAAGAGTAACCAACAAAAAAGTGTTAGAAACAATGGGACATCAGAGAGTTTTAGTCAACAAAATGATAAAAGAAAAATGAAATTTGCTGGCCACATTAAGAGGGGATCATCCGGGTTCTTGGCAATGCTTGTTTTGGAAGGTATGATTGACGGAAAAAGAGACAGGGGAACATGGGGAGACAATGTCAAAGAATGGAGCGGGTGTGAGAGCATTGGGAGAGCTAAATGATATTCTGTGGACAGGGATAGTTGGAGGGTCATGCTAGATAGCCTTCTGATAGAAGACGGTACCTGATGATGACAACATGCCAGAAATCACTAATGTAAAATTCCTTGCCATTTTATGAAATGTCAGTTAAGAAATGCAGTTCAGCAATTGGTCAGCAATTGGTCAGCAATGGTCAGGCCAAATTATCATAAAACATTTTAAATTCAAAGAAACTTAATGTTTTATAGCCTAAAAACAAGAAAATGTGTCCACAAAAGAAAAATAGTGACATCAAATTATAAAATGTAAAAGTTATTTGCCATTTTATAAAATGTCAGTTGAGAAATAGACTATGTTTCAGCAATGGTTTGAGCCATGTTTATGTAAAACTCTTATCATTCAGAAGAAACGGAATAAAATCATAGTAAGGCATGGAAAATATAATCTTTCGATGTGAAGACAGACAGAAACCAAACACAAGACGCCCCTAATTGACTGACTTTTATCCCGAGACATTGACCATGGTCTTGACATGGTCAGATATGGTTACATTTAAAATGATAGCAAATACAGAAAGTTGTTCTTTTTTCCTTATATTTCTATTCAGGGTAACTTCTTACATAAGTCAGAATTAATATTTTCCAAGAACAAACAAATTAAGATCATTGCAGGCAAAATTTTCAAGCTAATTGCTCAAGATACAAGGGGCACACAACAACCACCCCTATGGCAGTGGCGTAGCTAGCGGTCATGCTTGTCATGCCGGGCATGACCATCTATTTTCAGAGTTAACATTTTTCAAAAAATTATCTTTTCGTAAGAAAAAAGTCCTATTCTCCTGATGAAATAGCTCAGGCCATTCGCCTTTGGAGCCCTATGGTTCCACCCAAGAATATGGAGCCCTCCGAAGGCGCTCTTCTATTGTTGGGCATGACTAAAACAGAGGGTTTCCAATTTAGTCATGCCCATAACTATGAGCATGACCAAACCCTGTGTTTTAGTCATGCCCATAACGCTGGTTCCCTATGTTTGGTCATGCCTAACAATAGGAGTGACGCAGGAGAGAACAAAGGCTAGTCATGCCATTTCAAGAGGGCATGACCATCATTATAATCATCAGAACCGCCCTGTGTTATTTCGTGAACACGAATGCGAGGCATCGATGGCGGCGCTGCTATGCCTAGATCCACGAGCTGGGAGGTAATTCTCTGTAAGTAAAATGCAAGCAAAAGCTTATTGCCAAGCAGCCACGACTCATGTTAATCTCCAGAACATTTTATGGCAACGACAGGGTTTTTTCGCCTTAATGGTGTTGCACTATGTGGAGAAGTGACAGGCACGAAAGGCCATTTTTGGACATAAAATCAGCGAGCAGGATCATTTTATGCAACCAAACCAAACTCTCAGCCTTTTCAGTAATCAATTGTTACTAGTTGAACATTTGCAGAGAATCTTCTTGATTTAATGAATGCCAAATCTTGATGCTGTTCACTGGAGATGGATGGAGGAGATAGCAGTGTTATTCTCCAAACCAACAGATTTGAGAGCTTAAACTTTCCAGACATTTAGCAGCATATTCAGAAACTGTTAAGCCCTTTAAAAGCATTATTACCATATTATGATTAGGACAATAAGATTGTAGTTAATGGATAGGGAATGCCAGAACTTGCTTAAAGTTATTCTTCAATTTTTTGTTTATTATCACATGCAATAACACCGTTTTTACACACAATTAAAGTCAAACTCAAAGCTCTACTGACTTCACTTTTAGTTGAAAGTACTTTTTACTACTTATAGCTGTTGAAATAAAATGACCAGAGACAAGTCAAGCATGTTACTGATCTTGTTAGTTAAACAGTTTTATTTCACTATTACAACTTTTGATGTATTTGAAAATTTACAAGATCAAATTATTCATTTACAACCCTTGTTTGCTAGATTTAGTAAGGACAACCCAATCATGTGGATATTTACCACAATTATATGTGGAAGCATCAATGTTTTTGTTAAGCTAAACTTATTTTGCAAGGTATTTTTCTATTAAGTCTAACTTTGCAGAAACATTTTGCAACTAGGCCTATCCATTATTTTAGCTTCCTATATTTCATATCAATATTTACATTGGATATTCATTTGCCAATTTGTTTTATTCATCTATCAATTCTATTGGGGTTGTTAGTTAATCGTGATGGCTTTAAAATACCTTCAACAGATTGATAATTGATTGATTGACAACAGATTGACTATTTGTGGAAAAGATGACCAAAAAGCTCCCATTCAGTTTCATGTGATTTATTGTTTCATATAAAAATTTTAGCTTATCTCTAAAGTTTACAAATGTATTTCAGCCTGCAAATTGAAAGAAATTAGGAGAACATACAATTTTTAATTTAAGCTAATTTTATCTACTATACTAAACTAATGTTTTTTTAATGTCTTTTGTATAGTTCTTTTTGGAAATTGTCAGAACTCTGTCTGTATAAATTACCAACAAACCAAAACAGTGTCACAGCTATAAGATAAAGGTCATTTCATGGTGTAACAAGATGATTGCTATGAAATAAGAAAAGCTCATTCCAAAAGTTAATCACAATTTTTTTTATCAGTCACAAGCCTTAAAATTAAAATTTCCAAAAGGAATTCATCAATTAAAAAATTGAGCGTGGTAAAATTTGGCCACACCCATATTTTTTCAAATTTGAGGGAAGGGCATGACCACTGCTATTTGGCTAGCTACGCCACTGCCCTATGGTAGTGACTACCAGTTGGTAGTGACTACCAGTTTGCAGGTTGAGTTTGGGGTTCCCTTTTCATAATCAAAAACCAGCATTAAAAATACCATAATTTACACATATGCAAATTCGCCAATACTAATAAAGTGTCAAAAGAAGATGGCGACGTACCGTAGCAATATTGCTAAGATTTTCTTCATGATATATATAGTGTGTCGCAACCGCCATGTTTTGAATCCTTAGCAGAGCAGCATTCTTCGTACTTTGTAGCAGTTTGCTTTTAAGCTAATTGTGAATAGATGGGTCCAAGATTGGTTAATAAAAAACAAGGAAATGGAACTGCAGTATGGACTTTCGTCAATGGCCGCCTCGTGCAATGCAATATGGTGTTCATTCCCGCCGTGTGTTCGTTGCAATGATATCATTGGTTCGTTGGCTGAATGGTTGGAACCGAGGCTACAACTATTTCCCCAAGAGTTGTGCAGCGTCGCAGCGTCGTTGGTAAAGTTCCTACGACCAGAACGGCTGGTATAGAAAGAGGAAAAACTTCGAAGAACCAACATTTTAAAGGATATTCTAAGATATTCTTTAAACTATAAAAAGGTTAACCTTTGCGTAAAAAAAAGTTTCTACTTCTCTTACTCTCAGTGTTGACGCCCATAGTGCGGACGCAGACTTTATTGAAACAGATAAAAATAATTGCGCTTTGAAAAATATCAGGCACCGTGTCGACGGGACCTTTTTGGTTCCTTATTCAAATGTAGAAAACTTAACATTTGAGCTGGTTTGATACATTTGGCTGCTATCTTGCCTAAAAAGGGAAATACACCAAAATAAAGAATTGAGAGCAAAGTCTACAACACAATTCTTCAGTATCGACTGTGCCGTTGATTTTAAAAGTTCTCCCGCCAATAGATTTATGGGTAAGTTATTTTGTAAGATTTGAATTCGTTTATAGCTAAAGAAAAGGTTTAGCAAAATGAAAAGTAGATAGTTAATCTAGTCTCATTAGGTGCCCCTCCAAATTACCTAGTGACCACCACTGTTCGAAAGCACATGGAGTTTTTTTATCTGCTTAGACTGGTTTTAAAGACAGGGGCATGGTAAGTAGTGACTCTTAGGTAGAGGGCACAGCTAACAAACTTTCCGACAACGGGTTTTCAAAAAATTATGACGTCATCAAGCGCATGCCTATTCTTAAAATAGAAATATTCATAGAAAAAGTCAGGTTTCAATAAGTCCTCCATGTTCCAACTTTTGATAATCATAATCAGCAGTAATCAGTATCTTTAATTAACAGTCAAACACGCAATAGGACTGATCTCACAGAAATCTAAAGAAATGAACTGCACAATTTTAGTGCATGAGAAGTCTTTAAGCAATTGTGTATCCGCAAACGTACCCATAACTAAAGGTGACAAGTAAGTGAAGCTCGACATCTATTTAACCTCTCATGGCCCATTGCTGATCCAAACCGGTTTTTTACATACTTGAGCATTAATACCAATAGGAAAGCTTGCAAGTATCTTGTGCAAATGTATAGATTCGGATAGGCAGACTCTAAAGTAAATTACTGCGAGTAAGTCTGTCTTCAGAAAACCTTTTTTCCTTGATCTTTTTTAGCTTTTCATTGAAAACGGAGAAATGTTTTTGAAAGCTTTGTCTATTGTGATTGACGGCAAAAACATAAACACCAGTCAGCATAAAGAGCTTTGGTGGTTTGTCAGGCCCGTAGCCAGGGGTGACATGGAGTGGCAATGCCACCCCTGGAGCAAGAGGATGCCAGCTGTTTGCCACCCCGATAATTATATCTCTAACAATATTTAATTTTATTTTCCGTTGTTTTCATTGGATTGTCGCAACAACTTAGTAAATCGAATACTGGCGGAAGAAAAGTTTGTTATTAGGGTTTCTTATCACCCATGTAGCACTTAAGATTGTCCTTTGCGCTGAAAACACCGGTTCGCTGTCAAAAACTTGGCACTACTTGGGCGCTTCTCGGAATGTTCTCCAAAATGTCTGCATTGAACACGTTGCTCAGGGCATTTCCAAATCACAAAGAATTTGAATAAGAAATTTGAAGCAATATTGCAGTATGGACTAGCACTCGCACTGCTTTTATCAGGAGTTGTAGAAGTAAAAATGTTATGTTCTGTTATGTTAAAAGCACGTATTTCTTGAGTGAGCCTATAGAATATTGCAAAAGCAAGCGCTGAAAATTAACTCAAAATCAAGTCCATTGAAACAGTAACTTTGGTAAAGGATTGCTGCATTAGCTAGAAGAAGATGTAGACAATGGGATGTTAATTTTTGTAAATTGCCTGTTGGTGGACATTCTAAAGCCAATAAACATAGTCGCAAAGCAGCCGCAATCTTCCAGTCAAAACCTTATAACAGCACTATCTATAGCTAAAGCAGTGCGAAAAGACCTTAAGGGACGAAGAGGAAAATATGACTGAGGCTCAGTGCGTGAAAATGGTTGCTGATTTTCGAAAAAAATCAACACCACTGAAGTCAGCATCGTTGCTGACTGCATGATCCCTTAAAATATTTCGTAGAGGGTCTAGTCAATGCAGGGACGTAATGGGCCTCTAGGGGTTTTCAGCTCGCGGTCTTGGTAACATTTTTGCGTCAATGCCTTGACAAATTGACAAAATAAACAAGAAGACTTTGAGCGGTGCTTCTCTAAGAAAGGTGAAAAACTACTTTAATAAGTAAATCAAATTTATATGAGATCAACCTTTAAATATCCTAAAAATGTCCAGGTGCTGACTGTTCATTTTGCCACGGCTGGCTCATAATTTGAGCTTGTAATGATTCTTTTCAAAGGGGCAATAAACATTGCTATCAATACAATTCATAAAGTATTTATAGTGCATTTCAGTCTCGTACAATTGGCAAGTGTGTAACCTGGTATTTAGTTTGCTCTTCCAAGCACAGAAAATACAACTAATGCCCTTTATCTCGACTACCCACTTTTTCAATCATGTGATTGATATCCGGAATTTTCCATTTTGTATTGTTTTGGTTTAGATACTATCAAGTTTAGTAGAGCCAATCTTCATGTACAATGCTGAGCTATGGAACGTCACCACCACTCTAGAAAAGAAAATAGCAGGCTTCCAACATCGAATTCTGAGATGGATGCTAGGAGTAAAATGGCAAGAAAAGAAAAAGAACACAGAAATTGACAAGATTGCTGGTATGACATCATGGGTGGACAAAATCAAAGAAAAACGAAGAAGATGGACGGGTCACATGCTGAGACTAGATGATGAAACACCTGTAAAGAAGGCTTTAAGAGAAGCTAGAAGACCTGGAAGAGCCCATAGGGGAAGAAAAAAGTACATATGGATAACAAAAACAATGACCAAAGACTTTAAAGATATGCAGTTAGATGGATGGAATGAAGCTGAAAGAGCGGTGCAGGATCGAGTGTTGTGGCGAAGAACAGTCAAACGAAGCCTGAGAAACTAACTTTTTTTTCACTATTTGATGTACACAATGTTGTAAATACAACGGAATGTGTGATTATATATATATTGTTTTGGTATAAGGCCATTATCTATAATGACCACCCATTTGCTATCTCAAACCCATTCCTACTTCCTTCAAAAGAGAATTGTCTGCTATTTTGATAACAATAACCGTAAAATACCCTAATGTTATCCATTGCACATGAAATATGATGTAACTAACAGGGGCGGATCCAGAACAAATTTGAAGGAGGGGCAGTTGGGAGTGGGGGCGCTAAAAAATTTGCAAAAATTGGTGACGAGAGCTCGCTGTAAAAGCAATTTCAGATCCATTTTCGGAATAAACGACATAACTTTGAGGTAATCCTTGAAGCAAATTAACTCATTGGCCTCAGAAACTTTTTCACATGATTCTCATTCTTCAGAAGGGGCGCATAATTTTCAAAGAAGGGGCGCCAGACTTGCTTCAACTCGTTGAGAGAGGGGCAACTGTCCCTAATTGCCCCCCTTCAATCCGCCACTGTAATCCTCAAGACACCTTCAAAGATCCAATTAAAAATATGCAGAAACTGCGAGGGGAGGTTCGGGAAATTGCGAACGGCATGACATGGCATGTAATAAAAAGCGAAGAGGTTGATGCAGGTGTTATGCAGCTAGTTTTATGTTTTATTTAGTTCTGTGATGTTCAGTTGCCTGCTCTTTTGATGTTCTTGGTTGTTCCGTTGTTTGTCACCTTGTCATCAACATTCTGTGTTATTGCATCATCCCATCACCACTATTGTTGTCATTTGAATTAATTAATTTGTTATCGTAATTAGGGTGTGTTGTCATGTCATTTTTATGCTGTCAAGTAAAATCGTTTTGAATCCGTACAAATTTGCGATGTTACCGTTACGTGGAATGGTTCTTAAGAAAAGTTGAACTTGTTATCGCCGCCGACATTGCTTGTATTAATAATCACCGAACTGTTGCTTGTTGTTTATATCGCCGATCATATAATATATTCTGGTTCTTGTTGGAATAAACTGTTGTTGTTTTGTACCTCACTGATAAGAACTTCCGTAAACTTTGTAGTTTTACACAGGGACGGACTGGCATTTCTCTTCTAGAGTGGCTTTGTGGCTCTGAAAGGGGTCTGAGAGGGGCCGTAGGGCGTGACCTGGCCTTAAATAGGTATGGGCGCTTAGAAAACCAAATTCCACGTATGTAGTATAAGCGTTGATACGAGTTTTGCATAATTCCATCGTTCTTGTCATTATTTGCATAATTCTTGTCAAAACTTTAGTACATCGGGCACTCGTGATCTGCTCCAAATCTAAACTGCACGCTGAACTTCAAAAACTTAAAACGATCATTCTGGATAACGGCAAGTGGTGGAGCCATTGGGGAGGGATGGGGGGAAATCACCCCCCCCCCCCCCCCTCTTTTCAGAAAGTTGGTCCTTGAGATTCTTGCAAACCTGATGAGAAAATGTCGGGGGGGGGGGTATGTACGTTATCTAGATCGTCACAATTAAATGACATTTCTTGGGAGGCAAGAGGTGTTTCCTCCGGAAGAAAATGTTTCAAACAAGAAAAAAGGCTTGTTCCAAAAGGGCGTGGTCCCTGACACACCTTTTGTCCCCCCTACTTATCCCAGGCTGGAGCCGCCACTGACAACCCCAGTAGTAGGCTGAAGACCCCAGTAGTAAATTTTCTTTAGGTACACGGCACTGATTTCCCTGGGTACCAGACTCACTATATATGAAATAAAATAGAGAGACTCTTTATTATTTTATATAGTGAGTCTGGTACCCAGGGTAGGCACTGATTGGACTTCTATACCGGTCTTGTGCTTGCATTTTTCTGATCGGCCTATTTCGATCCACAACTGGGTATAATTTTCATCGTGTTCTTTCGGACCCTTATTCTGACGTTTTATGCTCTGAGGAGTGTCAGACGAAAAAGCTTT